CGACGCTCTGAGACAGGCCAGTTGAGGAGGGTCGGGCCGACGGACCGGCCGTTCTCCGCCTTACCTTGCCGAGCATTTTCTTGAGCTGACTCTCCGACAAGGCCATGGCGGCGGCCGCTCGCTCGCTCGCTCCCTCCCGACCCGCTCCCCTCCCCACCCCCTTCCACAGGTCGTCGTCGTCGCCTCGCGCCCGAAGTTCGGCTCCCGCACAAACCGGAAGCCTCCCCCGACCTCCCAACAGTTCCGTCCGGCGCGCGAACTACGTCACTTCCGACGCCCTCGTGCGCCGCGCCGCCTCAGGAACGACGGTTGTGCGGCTCGAGGAGCTCGTTTCACCTTTTGGCTCCCGTCCTTGCGGAACGTGCTTGGGCGTCCCCCGGAAGTCTTGCAAGCCGCCTTTTCTTTCTTTTTTTGCATAAACTTTTTATTGACAGGATATATCAACAATCTCACAATTAGCAATATATATTCGCTTACGATATACCCCTTTTTAAAATTTCTATCCTCCTCCCCTCCCCTAAACTTGGCTTCCAACAGTGCGGTATCCCCTCCTTTCCTCTTCATATTCTTTTATTACAAAAATCTTTCATACACAATATCTCATTAGGTAACATTCTCTACTATATAGAATCACATTATTTCAAAATACCATTCTAATAGCTATCAAAGCTGATTAAAGTATTCTTTACATCATATCTTTGTTCATTGCAAGCCGCCCTTTCAACACCGCTGCCCGCAACTTGAATAGCGTTAGCAATGTTCCCTCTAAGCTGTGGAGTCTTGTGAGCAAAAATTCTACTTGGTGAGCCACTGGCATTAAAGTTGTGAGCGAGGGATTTGGCTACTGCATAGCCTAGTTTGCTCTGGAGCCCTCCCTTCCTGAGCTGAGACAAAAAATGTGTGAGCTGGAGGCTAAAAAAATGTGAGCTAGCTCACACTCAGCTTAGAGGGAACACTGGCGTTGAGCCTCAAAGGAGCTGGAGAACGTCCTGCGCTGGATAGGTCAAGAGTTCAATCCCAGCTCTAACAGGGAAGCTTGCTGAGTGACCTTGGGAGGGTCATGCACTCTCTGCCTAACCTACCTCACTGGGCCGTTGTGAGGAAACGGAGAGAATTACTGTAAGCCATTGGGAAGAAATAACTTTATCGAGTGCCTTGCTTGCTCCTTATGAGGCCGTGAAATGTCTTTAGCTATACACTGCAGCAGTAGAAAAGAGTAAAAGACCCAGTAGCACCTTAATGACTAACAAAACTGCAGTGACTCTGGAAAGCTCAGACCCTACCACTAATTTTGTTAGTCATTAAGGTGCTACTGGACTCTTACTCTTTTCTACTGCTGCAGTGTATAAAAGAAGAGAAGAGACTGTATTTCTACCCCGCCCTTCACTACCCAAAGGAGTCTCAGAGCGGCTTACAAACTCCTTTCCCTTCCCCTCCCCACAACAGACACACCCTGTGAGGTAGGTGGGGCTCAGAGAGCTCTGACAGAAACTGCTCTTTTTTCAAGGACAGCTCTTCTCAGTGCCTGGACTGTAATCTGGGAGAACCGGGTTTGATTCCTCACTCCTCCACTTGCACCTGCTGGATGACCTTGGGCAAGCCGTAGTTTTGTCAGAGGTGTTCTTGAAAAAAAAGCGGTTTCTGTCAGACCTCTCTCAGCCCCACCTACCTCACAGGGTGAAGGTTGTGGGGAAGGGAAAGGAGTTTGTAAGCCGCTCTGAGACACCTTTGGGTAGTGAAGGG